TTTTAGGCTTCCTCCGTGTGAGTAGAGTTCACTTTTGGGGTAAAGTAAGAATTATATGTAACTGGACGAGGGGGGGCATCAGGATTTTAAAGATGTTTAGGTGGGGCATGGCCAAAAAAAAAAAGATTGGGAACCACTGCTCTAAAGGAAAACTCCTTCCAATAAAGTCATGTATTTTCTATGTTTATTAATTTGGGCAGGGGGAACAACTACTATAGAACATAATATGCCAGCTATTAAGATTTCCTTCTAAGTGTTTCTCTCTGAGCTTCCCAGTCTTCACATTTGAAGGCCTAGAATTATCAAACAGGCAAACTGTGAAAGTCTTTGGCTGAATACAAGGTTGTTCTATGCTGATTTAGGAAGACAATTTGATTGCCTGCTTTTAGTCAGCATACAATAGCATAAGCCTCTGGGGATGGCACTTGCGCTAAAACTATATTTTAAAGACATTTTAACAAACTATTAAAAAGGCATTAACTTCATGGAGAATAGGTTTTATCGTCTGAAGGAATGAAGCTGCCCAGGCATCTTGTGTTTATTCTAAGTTACAAAATTGCTGTTTTCCATTTAGAAAAGGAGTTACTTGGTGTTTAGAAATTCTTCTTAATTGGAGGTTTAAAACAAGATTAAAACTGCAATGGGTCAATGCAGAAAACTCATTCCTGAGGAAGGAAAGGAAACCAACTGACCTTTTGATTACTTAAAAGGATTGAAATAGCCTAGGTGAGACTGATATGTGGAGGTGCGGATAGAAACCAAAAGATGAAATTAGAATGGAAGGCCTCAGTGAATAAAAAAAGCTGAATTAAAAATGAGAAAGCCAAAGACCGCATTAGAATATAATGAGGGATTCTCTTTTTCTCTCTCTGTCTCCCTCTCCCTTTTGTTTGTCTGTCTGTCTATCTATCTATCATCTATCCAGGAGTTCCTGTACTGAGCAGATTTTTCAATTAATATTTTATGGATTTGTTGATTGATTGATTTAGACTATCTGAACTTTATAAGGCAGGGGTCCCCAAACAGTGATAGGATTCAAATAATTTAACAACCGGTTCTCTGCCCTAATGATTTCTTCCAATAAACAGTTCACCAAACTGTTCAGAAAGTTAACAATTGGTTCTCCTGAAGTGGTATGAACTGGCTGAATCCCACCACTGTCTCCAACCCCCAGTCTACTGTCCAGTACCTGGCCATAGTCCATTGGGAACTGGCCCTTGCAAGCAGTAGGCAAGTGTGTGAGCAGGCAAAACTGCATTTGAACAGTGTACACATGAAACCATCCCCTCTCCCACCACCACCACCATTGCTGCTGATGCCAGTCCACAGAGCTAGAAAGGTTGGGAACTGCTGGTATAAACAAAAATGTTTTGGAAAATGCCCTATTGCCAGAGACTTATTTATCCAATAGATGTTATATGGCTTTCTGCTTGTTTTCTCCTGGGAATTACATTTAGATTCCACACCTCGTTCTTCAGGGTTCATTAATGTGAATAGTAGTTTAAACTTAGGTCATAATTTAGATTTTATGTTCAGCATATTGTATGTTAATTTTTATCAGTCATTCTGAATACTCAGATGGCATAGGACAGTGATGGCGAACCTTTTCGGTACCGAGTGTCCAAACCGGAATGTGCACATGTGAGCGCACTGGAGCACCGGCAACTCGAAGACTAGCTGGCCAGTGCACATGCACACAATAGTCAGTTGGTCTTTGGGCTTCTGGCATGTGCATGTGTGCTGGCCAACTGGTCTTCATGCACAATGGTGCATTGGAAAACTGAAGACCAGCTGACCAGTATGCACATGTGCACTGGCCAGTTGGTCTTCGAGTTGCCGGTGCTCCAGTGCACGCCCATGTGCATGTTCCAGGTTTCCAGTTTTCCTATGCTCCACTGCATGCGAAGACCAACTGGTCAGCATGTATGTGCACGCAGGAAACCAGAAGAGCAGTTGGCAATGGCACATGTGCTCACAGAGAGGTACGTGTTTCAGAGGTACGCCATCACGGGCAGAGAAAGACAGGAAAAGAAAACTTTAGTTCATTTGCTCATCGCTTTAATATGTTTATAATTTTTATACTGACAGAATTTTGTCTGTTACTTTGACTTTCATCAAAAGCAAGCAAATTTTAACCTCTTGAATGTATTTTAATGCTAATAAGTCACTTCATATACTGTAGTCTGCGATTACTTCATATTGAATGGCTCTTTTTTCAAAGTATAGCAGCTTAGTTTTTTTTTGGGGGGGAAGATAGCATTTATTGAAGTAAATACAGTAATTGAACGTGGGAAAATACTGTAAATGATGCAGTGTAGAAAGAGGTCAACTAATTTGTTCCATTCAGCAGGTGGGTTTGGTGTATTCAGTAAACACAGAAATATCTCAAAAGTATTGAACTGGGGAAAAGAAAATATTACATATATTAATTATCAATGTAGTTGTGCATTAAACCTCCCCGCATGATTCATTAACTATAAACAGTGATTCTCAAAAGAAAATTAGAAGTAGATAAATTCAAATGATTGGAGAGTATTTATCTCTTTGTTCTAATTTACTAGGAATTTTGTTCAATTTAAGGGCGATTTTAGCTGTTATTGCTTGCTATTCATATGAACTTTTTGAAAATGAAAATGAAACTACTGGCACTAAATTAATTATCTGTTGAATAAGAGAATTGGATCCAATTTGTGTATTACATAGATAGTAACAACAAAGGAGAATAAAAAGTTTTTCATTTAAGTTCTGATTTTTCTTCCAGGTGAATTAGTCAGGCTAATTCAACACATGGGAAATATAGTAGCATTGTCTCAGTTTATTAGGTGCATTTGCTCAAGAATATATGAATCAATGATTTTCATATAAATAGGTAGTAACTATAACTGAATCCTAATCCTAGGTAATTAGGGGGCATGGAAAGTTATATTGTAAATGTGTTGATGTTTCAGAAGGAAGAGAGAAATTCCCATTTCACATACCTCCAAGGCAGCAAAAGATAGGAAAGATTTGATATACCCACTACATCATCTATGGAAACAGTATTCCTGTAAATATTTCCTTAGCAGCTTCCAATGATTCTGCTGTTCCAGAAACTAATTTTGGTCTGAGGTTAGTTTATTTGAAATTTTAGGTGAGTCAAATATCTCTGAGTCTGTAAGTTTGCAGTCTGTGTAACATGTATTGAAATAGAAAATTACCTGTTTACATGTTTGTTCTAATTTTAGAGGTGAGAGCCCTATTTTCTTTCCTCCTTCTGACACAGTTTTTACCTTTCTGCCTTGTGGGAAATGGATCTTTGTATTAAACTTTGAATATTCTAAATAGAAAATGGCAACTATTAGGTAACATTGCTCACAAGACAGTCTCCAAGGGGATGGAACTCTTAGGTAGGAAAAAAGAATACAGATCCCCAAAGAGAATCTGCAACAAGGTACTAATGAAATTAAAGTCAAAGTTATGAATGTGTATTTATGTAAGTCCGCAAAATGTGGTGTTTACAATAGATCTCATTACGTTTCATAGAACAAGATCCTGAATCTCAGGTCATTTGATGGCTTGCCTGGAATATATTTACCAGAAGCAGCAAGTGGAGAAAAGGAACCAAAGACAGGGGAATAAGTGCTGATTACTCAACAGCATTCTCATTACTTCACTGATGCCAGTGATTTATTTATTTTTTTCTGTCTCATGCTGGCAAAGAAATAATTAGCAGCCATGTGCCCAAAGGGAAAAGATGTCCTCCTGTCTCAAGCAACTGTCTGCTTATTGCTTCCCCTACAACAGTGAATAAGTTACTCTTTTTCTCCTTTCTTTGGCTTGGCTGCCTCTTGTAGGCATCAGCAGGAACTTTGATGTGGAAGGGTGATGGGTGCCAGAAAGCTGCAGTGTAGGATATTGGAATTTGTTTACAGAGAAGGCCTGTGCAAAGTAACACAGATTGACTTTGACAAAGAGATCACTAGGGTGGCAATGTGTTTCTCTATGTCAAAGCAAATCAGCAATGAGATTTGCCTCAAAGAAGCAATTTGTATCATCTCAATTTGTACCATCTATGGAGCAACGCTGAGGGAGAAGCTCTGTTCCTCCTCTGTTCAAAATGCTTTCAGCATTGGGTCATGCTGAGGAATTCTTGTCTTCTTCTTCTTACAACTAGATGACAATATTTCATTGAAAATTGGTTTATATATATAATATATATTAAATTATATTATATTAAAGAGGAGTCCTAGTAAGTTTTGGAACACTGCAGTGAAATCTGGTTTTAATAGACTAATCTGGAAAAGGAAAGGATCATTATTTACATATCTCCATTAAATGTGAAAGGGTGTCACTCTGGTGATTTGCTTCATTTGCATAATGGCATAATTATGCAAATGAAGGAAGTAACATCAAAATGTGGCAGGGTGTGATGATGTTCTTACTCAAATGATTCCAATTATGTAATTATATAATGACACAAATGGATGTCAGTTTTTTACAATAATTTTATTAAAAATTACAATAAAATGTACAAACTAATACAAACTAAAAAATAAAAAGGGCAGAAAACATAATGCAAATAAAAATTGAGAAGAGAGAATACAGTAAACACACACACACACACACACACACACACACACNATTTCCTTCCTCTATCCTATCAAAATGTCAATCATCTTCCCCACGGCTTCTGAGAACACCGAACCTGTTCCTGATGTTAGTTCCTCTAACCCCCATACCTTTTACCTTAAACTTACTAATGTGGACCCTACACATTTATTAAGAGGTCCCTAAGAGGACGTGCATAAACACACCAGAGTGCCTACCGTCCTTATCCTACTGTCCACATTTATATGTACTCTTTATATGTGTTTATGGTTATGCTTTGCTTATTGATATCCATTTATTTGCAATTGTTTCATATTTTTTTCATACTTATTTCCTTGTACTTGTTGACAAATAAAACAAAAAGGATCATATCTGAGGTTCCATATTATATATGGAGATATATATTCCATTTCTCAGTTTAAATATACAAATTCGACTTTCTGATTCAATTTGGAAAACTGCATATAGGCAAAAACGGTCTTGGCATCCGATTCACTTCCTCTCACTGTGTCCCTCGCACAGTAATAAACTGCAGAATCCTCTAGTTTGAGGCTGTTCATTTGCAGATACAGCTGGCTGCGAGAATCATCCCTAGAGATTGTGAAGCGTCCCTTGACTTTGTCTGGGTAGATAATTCGAGTTGAGGATGTACTCATGAAGGCCACCCATTCCCATCCTTTCCCAGGAAACTGTCTAACCCAGAACATCTCATAATTGCTGAAGGAGAATCCAGAGGCTTTGCAAGAGAGATGGAGGGATTCTCCAGATCTTCTCACATCCCCTCCAGACTCCACCAACTGGACTTGAGATTGGACTCCTAAAAACAAAATTATTTAAATGAAATCTTCTATATATAAAAAGAGAATAGGGAAGGAAATTCTTTAAAAAGGGAAAACAACTACCTTGAATGAACACTAATATGGACACCAAATTCAACCAAGGGATCATTTTCACTCCCTGTAATGAATGGAGGGAATCAATAGGAAAGAAGTTAGGAAAGTGCACAAACTTTGTGTTGGTGGGTGTAGCTTGAAGAGGGAAACCACGCAGCTCCTTTAAAGGAGACATTGGTCCCTGATTTACATAATGCTTGGGATAAAAGGGCCCTTGAGTTCATTCATTTAGAAATNAGGTTGACACAGCCTTCCATCCTTCTGAGGTTGGTGAAATGAAGACTCTGATTGTTGGAGACAATATGCAGAAAGTGGAGTCTAAAGAAGAATAGAGCAATATATGACTGTTATTCCTTTTGTTACTGTCTCATCATTTACCAAAACTTATTGTGTAACAGTTTTGTACTCGTTTTCTAGGATAAACATTACACTCCATCTCTAGTTCCACCCCAATGCTTCCTTTCCATTGGGTGAGTGTGGATTTCATGAGGATTAGACAGGATGCCACAATAGCATCATAGGGCTTTTCCATGATTCAAAGGGAGAGGCAAGGAACGTGCAATTATAACTTTTGAAAGGGCTACGCTGGGGACAGGACATGAAGAGAAACACAGATATATATGCAGTAGAAGCTTTTCACATTCTCTCCCCTTACCATCGTCCTTTGAAAAGAACCACAAAAACCAAATGCTTTTTGAGGCACGATTAGTAAGTCAGAGTTGGAATGAAAGAAAAGATAGAGAAGATATTCATCTCTTATAAATTAATTACTTCTACAAAGAAATAACTTTATATTCTACAAATAATTCAGTTCCCTCTATATTTCGAAAAGTACACCTACTGCTAAGTCAGACATGGCTTACATTATTCTGTGCAGTGAACGTTACATGGGCATTTCCCTGGTCGTACAGTGGTGAGAAGGCAGCATTGCAGGCTGACTCTGCCCACTGCCAGGAGTTCAATCCTGACCGCTTCAAAGTTGACCTAGTCTTCCATCCTTCCGAGGTTGGTAAAGTCAGGATCCAGATTGTTGGGGGGAATATACTGACTCTCTAATCTGCTAAGAATGGTCTGCAAAGTACCATGAAGTGCTATAAAAATTCTTTTGCTATTTCATTCCTCAAAATCTGTTCTGTATAACTTTTATAATCATTATTTTTTTAGGATAATCATTCTTGCTGTCTCTTGTTAAACACCCCTAATTTGTCACCATTGGGTGAGTGTGGATTACATTAGGATTCAATAGGAAACCATTTTATTTTAAACTACCCAGTTTGTTCAAATAGCCTGGATATTTCCTTCCTCTATCCTATCAAAATGTCAATCATCTTCTCCACGGCTTCTGAGAACACCGAACCTGTTCCTGATGTCAGTTCCTC